GAAAATGTATAAAGAACTGAATTAGTCCCGTAAACGTTACACACTAGGAAAATAAATTTATTGGATGTTACCTATAGGCTATAATATGCCATCTGCCATCAATTTTATATTATATCAGTTTTATAAATACCTTTGGAGTTTAAAATATTTTAGAATGCGGAGATATAATACGTTTGTTTTTTCAACCATACGGAGTTACAGATTTACAAAATATTTCTATTCATACGGAGCTACGGTGCGTCCATATTTTTGTTAGAAGTTTTTAAGAAATTATATAGTACAAAATATGGAAAAAACTACTTTATCAGGGGGGGGGGGCTTATTTTGAATTTTTATTTTTGTTTGCTAATAAGTGAAAATGATGGCATAATGAGAATTTTATAGAAACTTTCATACTATAGATATTTGAAGTTGTTGTTTTTAATTTTTATCTATCCTAACAGCATATTTAGATCCTGCAGAATCATTGGCTCACTTGGGTAGTTTAATTCAGAAACATATTCCTCAATTTGTTATATAAAACTACCTTAGTAGGTCTATAAAGYGTAAAATCAACAAACTTAAAATGGCTATTAAATTAAAATTCATTTTCCTCAAAAGGCAAAATACTGATACTACCTTACATAGTCTTTTTCATTATACAAAAATACATTTGCTGGTTGAAATAAAAATTAAAAAAATTAATTACTTGGTAAAATAGTTATATATTATACAAAATAGTAAAATCATCCACAATTGTGTTAATTATTATAGGTTTTTTGTTTTATTCTTTTAGAAAATAAACTATTATTTACTTTTTATTCACATTTTTCAGTGATGAAGAGGAAGATCAATTAAGTTTATTGGACAAAGAATTTAACAAAATCATTATAGATCATGACGACTCATATGTGACAGTTCATCCTGAACATAAACTCATGAAACATTATGAAGCAAAAGTGAACACTCATGTATGTTGATTTTAATGTTGTGTTAAATTTTAAAACATTGGATTGAACATACATTTTTACAGTTTAATTGTGGGGCTTATCCAATGGAATCAAATCCCAAAGGACACGCATTGATCTTAAATATTAATAATATAAAATATAGAGATGAAAGAAAAGGATCAGATGTTGATATGGCAAATTTAATAAAATTATTTAAGGGCCTTGGATATATTGTTCACGCAAAAGTAGATTTAACTGAAAGAGTAAATAACCAAATATTTATTGATTAAATTAAAATTAAGTATAAGAAAAAAATGTCTTACAAAATATTGACTTTTAAATTGTTTTTTTATTTGTAGCAATTCAAGAATGTTATTAATGATTTCATTAGTGTATGTGTAAGTGAAAAAGCTAACTCTATTGTTGTTTTTATAATGAGTCACGGTGAAGCTGGAAAAGAGTCAACCAGATCATCAGACATATTGGCTGCAGATGGCATTACAATAAATACGGACTGGATAATAGAACAATTTGTAGTCAATTATGTTAAACATATACCAAAATTATTTTTTATTMAAGCGTGTCGGTAGGTTATTATATTTTTTTGTATTTTTGATACCTACAATAATTACTTTGTTTATTTAAGAGGAGATAATAGTGATTTTGGTTGGAAGTATCACGATGGTGAAAACAATCGTTTACATAAGGACAGCGGCACTTTATCCCCATATACCACAATTTTTGAACGGCGTTATAAGGATGTATTTATAGCATATGCCACTATTCCTGGTAAATCGCAATCATTATAAAAGCTATTGAAATATTATGATGATTCATTTAAATAATATGATCTCTTATAAAAACTTGATTATATAATTAATTTCATAATTTTATTTTTATATTCAGGGCATACTGCTAAACGTGATCCAATAGAGGGATCATGGTTTGTACAAAAATTGTGTGAAGTATTTCGTAAAAATGCTTACAACACAAATTTGAATGAAATGATGTTAATGGTAAATTATAATTTTTCACCATTATATTATTGTAACAAGGCTGATATTTTTCTTATATACATTAGGTTGACAATGAAGTAGAACGACTTAACAGCATCCATCATGGATTTCAAACAGTAGAATGGTGTTTTAGAGGTTTCAATAAATGGTTTTTCTTTAACCCGGGCGTCTATCAAGATAGTTCAGATCYTGAAACCATAGTGACTACTTCAACCAATCCTACTGATGTTTAAAAACGAATATCATTTTTTAAATTATAACTAACTATTTAGGAAAGTTAATGTTAAGACTGAACATTTTTTAAAATATTTTTATACATATTTTTTATGAGTTTATTTTAAACATTTTCAATACAACTGAGTATAAATTTTGTAAAAGTTTTCTACTATTGCATTTTTCAACCTTGATATTTGTATTTTCCATATTCATAATAAATAAATTATAATAAATGTTAAATGTATTTTTATTATTCAAAATTAAATGCATTAAAGAGTTTATAACTTAATGACTTATTGAATTTTTTGAATTGTTTGTTTACCGTCTAAAGCTAGACACATTGTACAATGTATTTTTGGTKTACTCACTAACAAATAAAAAGGATCAAATAATGCTATTTTGATAAGACCCGGATTTGTTGATGATATAATAACATCCCGTTGTCTTACAAAATATTGGAGGATATGGAATATTAATTCAACTAGATGACATTAAGTTAAACTATTCTCAGTCAAGTTAGAGTTAGGWTAGGATGGTATTGAAAAATGAGTTGAATATTATACAGATAATTTTGAAYACAAAGATTCTGTACTATTTTAGAATAATTGTGTACTTTAATATAGTATTATAATGCATATATTTATGCACATTAAATACACAAAACAATTTATAAAATGTCAACTTAATTAATCAGAACTATCACTTTTTTCTTTTTTCTTTTTTCTTTCTTTTTTAGAAAGTTTTTCTTGTTTTGAAATCAACCTTTGTTCCTTCATCATGATTTTGTCCATTCTATCCAAGCGTCTAAAACAAAAATTAATAAAAAAATTAAAGTAATGTATATTATAGTAAAGTTGAATTAATTTACTTGAGTAATTTCATTTTCTTCTTTCTACTCAATGTTCGAACATACATAAATAGCTCTGTATCGCTATCATCGCCGTTCTGAAAAAAATTAAAAGTCTACTAATACTCATGATTTTTAAGGGCCCAAACAGACGACCGGATTTTGCCGGCCGGCGTTTCTGCCGTCCGGTCGATTATATACCCAGTGTCCACCGGCCGGCGAATCAGTATTATTATTATGGTATATTTATAATATTATTTTAAAAACCCGGTAGAGTTAAAAATTTAATAAAATATTTTTCGATTTCAGTACTTATTGAAAAATTATAATACGTACWTATTCGATTAAATTTTAAACTTGTGCAGTGATACATTTTGGAAATGATCTACCTAGTACACCAAATATAACATGGAATAATTTTAAAATTAGTTAAGAGTTTGAAATAAAGTAAATATTTTTCTTTCGAGCTCAGTCTGTTGGTAGAGTGTGTTCAGTTTAAGTTTTAAAAATGGATTCAAAAAACTCTAGCGATAATTGCACTTCAGTTTTTAAAAAAGAAAAAAGGATTGAAAATAATGTTATGTAAGAAATGAAACAGATTTTGGGTGACCGGACGGCAAAACGTCGGCCRTGTGTTCATTCATATTATTTTATATRTATTTTACTGTGACCCGGCAAGGGTCCACCRGTTTTTTGACGGTCGGTCRCCGTGCTCCTYCAAGCGCGGTCCCTGGTCGAAAACTACACCAGAGCCAGCGAACTGAACAAACTAACCGGCCGGCRAAAAACGTCACTGTCTGTTTACTATCATCTAACTCTATATAAAAAAACCGGACTGCCGACGCCGGCCGGCAAAATACGGTCGTCTGTTTGGGCCCTAAACAATCCAAAAACTTACATTAAATGATATTTGTTGTTGGGTTGAAGCAGCACTTTTTTTTAATTCCAAACCATCTTCACGCATTTGTTTTATTAATTCTTGTGTTTTTTTATTAGCACTAGAACCATTTGTTGCTGCATTACTAGTAACAGCTTCAGATATACTAGCTTGGTTAAACAAGGTGCATTCTTTGTCTATAAAATATTTAAATTTTATTTTATTGCACTAGAAATSTTTAATTAATTTCCTACTTATATATATATTGGGTCAACTATGATTCAAAAATTAATTTAATATATATTATTTAACAAAATACTTTGAAATTTACTAACCAGTATTAATATGACCCCATTTGTGGCATTTTATGCATCTCACATTCCTTACTTGAATACCAAATGGCTGGTCGCGAATTTCTTGATCTCCTTTACAGTAACTATACAGGAAAACATTTATTAGTAAATTATGACTATGTAGTTTTTAATTTTATCCCACAAAAAATAATATTAATGGTAATATTTCAACTGCATGTTAATTGATTCAAATATTTTTGTTTAAGAATTGGGGAAGTGTTTACAAAGATTCGGAGGTAGTTTGGCCAGTTTGGGAGATGTTGAAATTAAATTGTATCAGTAAAGATGAAAATTGATACTTGCATTTTAAAAACAATAAAAACCATAAACATAGGATKAAATAATAATAATAATTATTTATTTATTTCGGTAGTATATAGTTAGTAATAGGTAGTAATAGTTATTTATATAGTGCTGTATGTTATGTTAACATTAACACTTTGTGATACTTTTTTTATGTAAAATAACCAAATTTAAGTTAACTTAAAGTTTCCAAAATTGGTGACATTATTGAATAGAGCTATATAATTATTTTAACAGTGATGAAGGCTGAGCATAAATCAGTGATCACAAAAACATTAACAATAAATAGAGTCAAAAACTATTTAAATTATACTTTAGCTGACTTGCCAAAATYAAAAATACTTCATTAACATCAAGATAAAGTTATAAAAAATTAAGTGCTCAAATGCATTTTTAAAAAAAATGCAAGAGGTTAATATACTTATTAAATATCCGTTAAAACCTACCTACTAAGACCACATTATTAGTCACTTATAAAGGTTTACTTTMCTTTAGCAACAGTTAATTGACATTTTTAGCAACAACTATATCAAATCAAAAATTATGCAAATCAATTTTTAATTAATATAATACCTTATCATTATTATATTTGTTTTATTTGCTTAGTATAATTGGATGAATTACATTTCTAATAATTAAAATTACACAGCAAACCAATTCTGATGATTGTAGTCTTAAATATGGGTCTTGGACCATAGGTTGAAGACCACTAGTTTAGGTGAGAATTGTTTACCTAAGACACAGAATACGTTTAAAATTGAATATAWGAAACTCAAGCAATTCCAGGTATGCCTAACTGCTTATACATTATATAAGATAGATAAAAATGTACATTAGAAATAATACAGATAATACCTTTATAGTAAAATGGATTAACTAACAAAATATTCCCATTCTATATGTAAATGTTCATATGCACCTACATATTATGATACATAAAGGGTAATATAAGAAATAAAAATTACCCATTTTAAGATTATATGTTACATCCAAAATGTTATCAAAATGTACAATCATTTATTCGAATTGCGGAAAAAAATCCCCGACCCTAGGTAAAAAAATCCCCAGACCGCAATATTACTCACAACCTCATGAAAATAGTTGAACATATATTTTTAAACGTTAATTAACACCTATTCACAGTAAAAACATATAATGATATAATTGTTTGTAGTTTTTTGAAATTTTCAACAAATGTTTATATGATGTTT